CAGTTCCAGGACTCCAACCACAGTTGACTACATGGGAGTCCAGCGACATAGCCATTACATTAACTGCTGGTCCCAATATAAATCTTTTATCACACTTGTGGTAAAAAATATTTTTCCCTAGCACCAGGTAGGGTGGCATGTTTCTTTATTTCCAGCTGCTTAGGAGGAGAGGCAGGAGAATCATGAGTTCAAGACCAGCCTAGTCAATATAGCAAGACTCTCTCTCTTAAAAGCATGGGAAGGAGAGATTTTCTTCCAGTCTGTAGTTTATTTTCTCTCTCTTAACAATTTTTAAAGAATTATTTTATATAAGTTTATTTATTTATTTTCATTTGACCAGAGAGGGACAGAGTGAAAGAGAGAGAGGGAAAGTGAGAAAGCAAGAGACTAGGTCCAGGACTTGAACCATAGTCAGCCATGTGGGAGTTCTACTGCCTTAAACACTACGCTACCTGCCGGCCCCAACAATGTCTCTCAAAGAGCAGAAATTATAACATGCTGAATGCATGTCCATATTTGCCCAAAATCTCAACATAATAGAGCAATAGACAAGGGATTGCAATGAGACCACACTCCGTCAAGGGGTGCCTTCTCTCTTTCTCTCTCTCACACACTTGTCCTCTCCCAGTTTGAAAAAAATAAATAAATAAACAGCCAGATATCTGCCTACATATCTAGGATCCTGATAGGCTGGAGGACTAGAGGAAAGGGATTGTAGCATGACGGCCCTGTGGAGGGTTCCTCCTTCCCTCGTATGTATGTATATGCATATCATGAATATAAAATATTTTATTAAAAAAAACTTTTGGAAGGACTGTGGCTTTGTATGTGTGTCTCTCTCTGTCTTCCTTGCTCATGGAATAAAGAAAATCATTAAAATATATATAAATGTTTTTTCTTAACATGGTGTGCTCAGCATATCTACAATATTAAAAAAAGTAGTAATTAAGTATTCTTTATGATTACATCTTACTCCTTTGTTGGCCTAGTAGCTAGACTTTTCTTTTTTAAATTTTCTACAGAGTGTGTATGGGCAACAAGAGAGAGAAAGACAGTGAGGAGGAGGGGGAGAAAGCATCCCCACCAAGGGAAAATGGCCACACCATAATCCCTAGTCCTCCATTTTCCTCTTGGGATTTTGGGCATACACACACACACACACACACACACATGCATACACATGCATCTGGCATGATTTTTAAGCCACAATGTCTGGGATTTGAACCATGCACTTGTCATTTGGGATCCAGCTGCCTTAACCACCATGCCATTGGCTGGCCCACTAGATTTCTTTTTAATTGGTTGTTTTAGGATTTATAATACGCATGTCCAACTTGTCACAGGGTACCATAAAGTAATATTATGGGGTTGTTGGAAAAGTCATAATGTATTTTTTCTGTGTTTTGCTGTGTAAAATATGTCTGACTTTTCCGTATCAGTTTGTATATAGTAAAAGAACCTTATAAAAACATACTTGGGGACCAGCAGGTGGTGTGGTGATTAAGGCGCTGGACTGTCACATGGCTGACCATGATTCAAGTCCTGAACCTGGTAACTTGCTTTCTCAATCTCTCTCTTTCTGTTGAGCACACTTACCCAATAGCAAACAATAATAATAGCAAGTAAAACAAATATTTTTTTTAAAGCATGCTTGTTTCTCCTTTTTTAACCTTTGTGCTCTTATTATATTTTTACTTTATGTACATTATAATTGCACAATACATCACTATTTTTGTTTTGTTCTGTTCTTGTTTTGTTTTAATTTTGCTATCAGGCAGGTGCACTCACTAGAGAAAGATGAGGGTGGGGTGAGAAGCCATCATGCCCTCCGCAGCAGGGATGGCCATGCTGCAATCCTTCTCCATTCTTTCAGGATTTTGGTTATGCATGCATAGATCTGGAACTAGAACTCTGCAGTCAACCATGTGAGATCCACCTGCCTTAACCACCATGCCATTGGCTAACCCTATTTTGTTCTGTTTTTACGAGACCTTAAAGATAAAGAGAAGTCTAGCAGGTGGCATGGAGGTTAAGACATTGGATGCCACATGGCCAGCTGTATAGTTTGAGTCCCAGACCCAGTGGTGTGAAAATCACTCTGGGTATGTGTACCCAAAATCCTGAGAGGAGGTTGGAGGAGAGGGTATTACAGCATGGCCATCCCTCCAGGGTGGAGTGATACCTCTCTCTCTCTCTCTCTCTCTCTCTCTCTCTCTCTCTCAGTGTAGGTGCTCTATAGAAAGAAAAAAAAAGAAACTAAAAAAAGATAAAGGAAAAGGTATTTATACGTGTTTATATGCTCACCATTTCCAGTGTCCTTCATTCCTTGGAATGGATCCTGTTTGTCACATGCTGTTGTTTCCCTTCTATCTTAAGGAATTCCTTTAACATTTTTTATATTACTCAACAGCTATAGATAAATTCTTTCAGCTATTATATGTCTGGAAAAGTCTTGGATTTTATTTTATAAAAGATGTCTTTGGGGGCCAGCAGGTGGCATGGTGGTTAAAGGCACTGGACTCCCACACGCCGACCGTGGTTTGAGTCCTGGATCTGGCAGCTTGCTTGCATGCTCTCTCTATTACTCTCTCATGCACGTTCTGTCCCTCTCTGGTAAAATTAAAATAAATGAATAAATTAATTAATTAAATTAAATCTTTTTTTAAAAAGATGGTTTTGTTGAGTATAAAATTCTAACTTGACATGTTTTGGGGATTTGGTTTTGTTTCTTTTTTGTTTGTTTTGTTTTTCTTGCAGTGCTATAAAGATGTTGCTCCACTCTTTTCTAGCTTGTATTGTTTCAGGTGAGAAGTCTACTGTCATTCTTACCTTTTTCTTCTTATCTAATGTATCCTTTTCTCTGGCTGTTTTTAAATTTTTCTTTCTAATTCTGTTCGATTATAATGTGTATACGTATAGTTTATTTGTGTGTGTTTCTTTTGTTTGGAGTCCACTGAGCTCATATCTGTGCGTTTGCAGTTTTCATCAAATTTGGAAAGAACTTTCTCTATTATTTCCTTGGACTTTTTTTTTTTTTTTGTCCCTTGTCATATCTCTCACTTTGAGGACTCTGATTATACCTATATGAGACCATTTGAAATTATCCCTGAGCTTAGTGATTTTCTAGGTTTTATTTTATTTCATTTTTTCCCCAGTCTTTTTTCCTGTTTTTCATTTTGAGTAGTTCCTACTCCTATGTTTTCCAGCTCATTAGTCTTTTCTGCTCTAGTATCTAATCTGGTCTTAATCTCATTTAGAGTAGTTTTCATTTTATACTTTTTTTAAATCTTTAGTTTATATTTGGGTTCTTTTTATATTTCTCTCTACATTCTGGTACATATGAAATATAGTTAAGAAATGTCCACTCAGCTGTGTGAACATGAAGTATTTTCAACCCTGTGCGAGATCCATAACTGGTTTCACCAAGTCCTTTCTTGTGACTCATTCTCTTGCCCCATATGCATGTACTTACTGATTAGCACTCAGCTGAAGACTCAGATCCTTCTGCAGACAGCCCCTGCTTGTTTATGTATGTGTGTGCATCTGTCTCTCTGTCTCTCTCTGCACAGCTGTCTCCTCTAAAATACTTTGCCTAATAAATACAGATTCTACCACCCTGGCCTCCAAAATGATCTAGCTCAGGAAAATCCCACAGCTTTGTTTGGGTTCCCTTCTCCACTATGCATCCTGGGAACTTGCCAAAACACTTGTAAGGCACTTTCCTTTATTTCTCTTCTCTCAGGGATCACTATCCTGCTCAGTCTGTTGTCTAAATAGTCACTATTTGGGACCAGCAGTTAGCATAATGGCTATGTCACTGGACTCCCAAGTAGTCAACTGCGGTTTGAATCCCAGACCCGGTGGCTTACACTCACACTGGGCGTGTGTGTGTGCATGCCCAAGATCCCGAGAGGAGAATGGAGGAGAAGGGATTGTGGTGTGGCCATCCCCCCTGAGGGGTGATTTCTCGCTTTCTGTCTCTCTGTCTCTGTCTTTCTGGCAAGCCCTATAGCAAAAACCTCTCCAAAAAAATATATTAAAAAATTTTTTTAATTAAAAAATGAATAGTCACTATTTCATCTATTGTCATCTCTCTGGTTGTTGAAGGCAAGAAGATAAATCTGTCCCTACAACTCTGTCTTGACTAGAAGTCCACACAATTTTACTTTAACATTCTACCAACTTCTGTAATTCTGTGTTGCTTGAATTCTCAACTGAATTCAAAATCTTTCTGAGAATTATTTCAGTTACTTCTTTCTAGCTAAGCACTTACTAAATATACCTCAGATTGGGCAGGAAGTAGTCTTTTTATTTCATTTTTTCACATGAAACTTTTTGTGCCTATCACACATGTCCTAGTATTCCTTCCTTCTAATATGCCTCATACATTTTGTATAAAAGGAATTCTATTGTACTTGCTTCCCTTTTTAAAAAATAATTATTTTACTTTATTTATTTATTATTATCATTTTTAATTTGACTGAGAGTGGACTGGGGAATGAGAAAGCAAGCCGCCAGGTCTGGGTTTCAAACCACAGTCAGCCAAGTGGGAGTCCACTGCCACCACGCCATCTGCCAGCCCCATGCTTCCCTTGTAATAATATTCATTCATCAGATAGTACAGGACCCACTATGTAGCTAGGTTAGTAGACAATACTGCAGTATTTTCTGTAGCAATAATGTAGACTTCTCTTTTTTTAACACAGCTTAGCTAAGCGAATCAGCATTGACATAACCCAAGTGAGTAAAGTCTCAGGTTTGATTTTCTTAGTGCCTTGCTTCCATGTTAGCCAAGAAAGCAGAATGTACTTCCCCCAAATGGTAAAGCATTCCATCCTTTCCCCAGTTTTGTAGGTCATGAGATGCCAAGTGAAATTTGTGTTTTGAAATGTGTTCCTCTAGCAGTAGAACAAGATGTGGTAAAGGGGGCACATTAGAGGAGACTCGAGAGCCATTTCTCAAATCCTACTTCTTGCATTTCAACTTCTCGTTGATTTTAGGTCGTGGTTCTGTCTTGAACGTAAACGGTGAGGTGGAAATGGATGCCAGTATCATGGATGGAAAGGATCTGTCCACGGGCGCCGTGTCCGCAGTCCGCTGTATAGCAAATCCCATTAAACTTGCACGGCTTGTTATGGAGAAGGTATGTGTGACAGAAGCATCCTTTCCTTAGGAATGGTTTCTGCTGTGCTCCAGTGACAACAGAAGGATCTGGCTGTGGAGAAAGACATAAGAGCACAAGTCTCCTAAATATATATCTATAAGTACGGAAGCAGTGTTATTTGGATTTCTCAAATCAGCCAAGATTTTGGCTCTATTGATCCTGTCTTGTAACCAGTCACTGGACCACCAATTACTTGGTTATCTTCCTGTATTTTCAGCCTCCTTTCAACACATACGCTACCACACATTTAAATGGGACAGACCAACTATTTATTTATTTTTCTTTTTGAAGAGTTATTTATCTAACTTTATTCATTATTATTATTTTTTTTTAATTTGACCAAAGAGGGAAAAAGAGTAAGAAAGCAAACCGCCAGGTCCAGGATTCAAACCGTCATCCACCATGTGGGAGTCCAGTGCCCCAACCACTATGCCACCTGCTGGCCCCACAGACCAACTATTTAATAGCACTTTAAATAAGGTCATATGTGCATCCCTGGTAGATAGTCTTACAAGTTTGGGGTCTTTCTGAAAATATAAAAACTTAGAGAATCAGTCTCTTTTCAACTTTCAGAAAAGCAATTCAAGATAAATTACACTTTCGAGCTTTTTCCCAGAAAGAAGTAATTATTTCCACACAATTGGAACCATTAAAAGTTATTTTTAGTTTTCCAAAAACTAACCTTTTCCTCCCTCTCTCTCTTTCTTCTCTCTCTCCCTCTCTCTCTCTCTCTCTTTTTTATTTTTTCCTGGCTCAGACACCTCATTGCTTTCTGACTGACCAAGGTGCAGCAAAATTTGCAGCATCTATGGGAATTCCAGAGATTCCTGGAGAACAGCTGGTAACAGAGAGAAGCAAAAAGCACCTGGAAAAAGAGAAGCAGGAGAAAGGGGCTCAGAAAGCAGACTGCCAAAAGTAAGTTCCATGCATCACTCACACTCTTGGCCTTAATTAAAGTGGGAACGTTTGGCTAGTACCTGCTGACTTGTCTTTCTTAAATCAAACTGTATCATGGAAAATCTGCTCTCTTGATTCTTAAATGTAGCTGCAGTTATTACTCCTGTGAACAGTAACTCAGATTAGGCCAACAGAGTTCCTTCCCTGACATGATTTAATAAAATAATGCCTTGTTATTAATGTCACAGTCATCTGGAAGCTTCTCGATCAGTTTGTTGTCTTAAAAAGACTGAACTAGTTCTCTGTGACCTTGTTCATAATCTACTGTATGAACTCACTTAAGCACTCTTCCATAGTATAGAGAAATCAGTTTAACTTAAATTTTTGAATTAAGGGATGGCAGGTGGTGTGGTGGTTAAGCTGCTGGATTCCCACATGGCCAACTGCAGTTCAAGCCCCTGACCTGGTGGCTTGAAAATCATGCCAGGCATATGTGCATATTTGCCCAAACTCCCAAGAGGAGAATGGAGAGGGAATTATGGCATGGCCATCCCCCTTGGCAGTGATTTCTCACTTTCTCTCTCTGTCTCTGTCTCTTTTTGGTGAGTGCATGTGCCTCACAGAAAAACCTTTAAAAAAAAGAAAAACAAGTAAATAAAGCAAAATTTGAATATTGCCTGGGAGGTTGTAATAGAATTCAGTCTGTTGACTCAGCATACTTTTATAGAATAGTAATATGTAACCAGAGTATGCCTTATAATCACTGGAAACTTTTTTAAAATATGCATACATGGATTCCTTCCCTAAAGAATCAAATTTAATACATCTGAAATTGAGAGGCCAGGCAGGTTTATTATGGAAAAAGTATCCCAGGTAATTCTCATGTGTCCTCAGGTTAAGAATTTATTTTATAGGATTGACTATATGGGGGCCAGCAGATGGTGTGGTGGCTAAGGTGCTGGACTCCCACGTGGCCAATTGCAGTTCAAGCCCCAGACCCAGCAGCTTGAAGATCATGCTAGGCACATGTGCATGCCCAAAATCCCAAGAGGAGAATGGAAGAGAAGGGATTGTGGTGTGGCTGTCCCCCCTGGAGGGTGATTTCTCACTTTCCCTGTCTCAGTTTTTGTCTGTCTCTCTCTCCTAGAGCAAGCACATGTGCCCTATGGCAAAAACCTAAAAAAAAAAAAAAACCAGATTGACCACATGTTAGTAGCTGTCGAGTCTGTGGCTTTCAGTCGCAGGAATGGGGTTGCTTTATTGATGGTTCAGGGTTCAGGTTCACTTTTTTTTTTTTTTTTTTTAAGAGAGAGACTTTTGCTATAGGATGCATGCACTGACCAGAGAGATATGGAGACAGAAAGTGAGAAATCACCCTCCAGGGGGATGACCACACCACAACACCGCAGTCCCTTCTCCATTCTCTTCTCGGGACCTTGGGCATAAACACACACACACCCGATGTCAGTTTCAAACTACTGGATCCAGGACTCAAACTGCAGTCAACGGCGATGTAACCATTATGACCTCTGGTGATCCCCATGTTCACTTTTCAAGGTGTCACCAGATTGCTTCCCAAACATTCTGTAACAGCACTTCTCTAGCTGCCATTGCTACTTTTGAAAGAACCAGAGAGGCTCCTACAGAGAGCCTGCACCTCAGAGGGCCCTCCTTCCACAAGCACACAAACAGCTGCTTTGTTTTGGAACACATGGGCACCTTCGTCACTCAGCATCGGCACAGCACGACCCATAACCCTATCGTCCACTCCTCTGACACCACTCAGCCACCAGGGAAAGGCGTCTCCACATCTCTTGCTGTATGTCTTGGAAGCAAAGACCTCCCAAGCCCAGCATTTCTGGGTTGTGCCCCTTCTGACATCAGAAATGGACACTGCTTCAGAATATGGGGAAGATTCGATCAGCGAAAGGACTTAGGTAAGAGAAAAAGAAAAATTAATCAAAGATTAACTTGTTGAATAGAATTCTTGCATCATGAAGTCTTGTTTCCCTATAGCGCTAAGTGTCCATTCTCTTGCCTGCTTACACGTGTCAGTTTGTGGTTCTGAGGGTATTCATAAATCACGGCCTCCCTAAGAGTTGCGCATGAGGACGACTATTCTGAGATCCATGTTTTTGTAGGTCTAGGATGGTGTTGTCCAATACAAATACAATGACAGCCTTATGTCATTTTAAATTCCCTAGCAGCCATATAAAATGGTTAAAAAGCAGGTGAAATTAGTAGTATAGTTTATCTAACCTAATATACCCAAAATATTGTTATTTCACCTTGCAATCATTATAAGAAATTGAGGTGGTATCGTGCACTCTTTTCATACTAAATCTTCAAAATCTGTCTTTTACACTTGGAGTGCACATTAGCGCAGACCAGCCAGTTAGCCAGCAGCTCTCAGGAGACACACGGAGCTGGCTGCTATTGTGGTCAGGGCTGGTCTAGGCAGCCTGCGTGAAGAACCAGCTGTTGACATGGGCAGCAAAATGGATATCAGCTATTAGAATTATAAATGGCTTTACTTGGAAAAGTACAAAGAGTCTTCAAAAAGGTTGTGGAAAATTGGAATTAAAGTATGATCTGTTTGGGTGCAAAAATCTTTTGAAACCCATACATATTTTTTTCATAATATGTATTTTCCATAAACTTTTTGAAAACTCTTTATGTTTAAGATTTAGTTCATTTCAAAAAGATGTGTAAAAATTTCTACTTTTAAGGGCCAGTAGGTGGTATGGTGATTAAGGCTACTGGATCCCACATGGCCAACTGTGTGGTTCAAGTCCCAGTCCCAGTGGCTTGAAAAGCACACCACGCACATGCGTGCGTGTGCCTAAAAGCCCAAGAAACACATAGAGGAAAAGGGATTGTGTGTGGTCATCCTCCCTGGGGGGTGATTTCTCACTTCCCCCCTTCTCTGTCTATTGCTGGCAAGTGTACAGTGCCCTGTGGGAAAAATTTGAAAAAAAATCACCTTTAAATAATTTTGACTTTATATATTATAGTCATTAATTATAATTCTTATAATTGTTTTAACTAATATGAATAAATAATTTTGTATATTTTACAAAAGTAATTTGTTAGAAAGGTTATCTGCAAATTACTTTTTTTCAATTTTTTTTATTTTCTCTGTTTTTGGTGAAAATATATTCTCAGTTTGTAACTTTGAATATAATTACATTTTACTTTTTATTCATAGATTATTGAAAATGAGCATAAGTCAAGATTTTGACTGAAAAAGGATACCAAAGCTCACAAAGAAAAAAACTGAAAAGATAAAAGCAAAAAATTGTCAAAGAAGCAATCTGCTTGCTTGCTTTTTTTTTTAATTGGAAACAGCAAAACCAAGCAGTCTTATTCCAGGATGACCTACATACAGTTCAGAAACAGGACATTATAAATTTTTTATTAAGTGAAGATTTAATTATCAAAGCAATAACAATTAGTAAGAAAATTGTTCTCATCAGATCTACAACTTGAACAGATCAGATTAAATTCCTGCCACTTCATGTTCTTTACTAAAGGAAGATTTCATGGTTAATCATGAAGAATTACATACAAAAAAGCACATATGCCATTGCAGAAATTAGGAGGAAGAAGCTGAATAAACAACAGACAATTGATAATGCCAGGAAAAAGGCGACAATATCAAACATCGGTGTAATGTTCCTGAAAATTATAATGTGTCTGATATTTAGCGAAGCCTGATTGCTATTTTCTTTTTTTTTTTTTTTTTTGAGAGGTTTTTGCTATATGGCACGTGCGCTCGCCAGACAGACAGAGAGAGACATAGAGACAGAAAGCAAGACATCACCCCCCAGGGGGGATGGTCACGCCGCAATCCCTTCTCCTCCATTCTCCTCTTGGGATCTTGGGCACGCACACACACGCGCCTGGTGTGAGTTCTAAGCCACCGGGTCTGGGATGCAAACCACGGTCGACTACGTGGGAGTCCAGCGACATAGCCATTATGCTAACTGCTGATTCCCTGATCGCTATTTTCTTTATGCCTTCAAATACACTGTTGACAAAAAATAATGGGAATTTTCTAGGTTTGGTAAAAATTATTTCAAAGTCTGGCAAAATGTCAAACGTAATTAGAACAAGAAAATAGCAAAACTCTAGTAATCACTATCTGAGTTCTGGACCCAGTGACTTACTACGTCCCATGTGCTCGTGTGAACGTGCTCAAAATCCTGACAGGAGGATGGAGGAGAAGGGATTGAGGCATGACCATCCCCCCTGGGGGGTGATTTCTCACTTTCTGTGTCTCTGTCGCCCCAGCGAGTGCACGCGCCCAATAGCAAAATCCTCACCAAAAAAAAAAAAAAAGTTGAAGCAACAGAACAAAAATATATACGTTTAGGAGTCTGGACGGTGGTGCAGCAATAAAACGTAACACTTTGCATCAAGACCCTATTGGGGTGCTGTCTCTCTGTCTCTCTTGCTCATGGAAGAAATAAACTTACAATAAAATAAGATATGCCTAACTTGAAGGAGAGTGATGCACAGATAATTACTAAACCAGTTTCAGTACAGATTATTTTTCTGTTCATTATAACTCAGAATTTACTATCATTTGAAGGGATTTAACTAAAGATAGGAATTTAAAAGACTCTATCTCCCACTACCTCAACGGAGTGAAGCTTTTCCAAATTAAAATGAATTAAAAACTTGCCAAAAACCACATTAACTCAAGAAAGATAGTCTTTTTTTATTTATTTTTATTTAACTTATTTTAATTCGACCAGAGAGGGACAGAGTGAGAGAGAGAGAAAGAGAAAGTGAGAATTTAAGAAAGCAGATAGTCTTTTTTTATTTATTTTTATTTAACTTATTTTAATTCGACCAGAGAGGGACAGAGTGAGAGAGAGAGAAAGAGAAAGTGAGAATTTAAGAAAGCAGACTGCGGGACCAGCAGTTAGCGTAATGGCTATGTCACTGAACTCCCATGTAGTCAACCACAGTGTGAGTCCCAGATCCAGTGACTTAAACTCACTCCGGGTGCG